TTCACTGGTATATAGCAAATTTACATATATATACTAAGCGAACAAAAAATACCAATTTGCAATACTATCCTAAAATTCAAGCAACAAATATTTAGTGAATATTTACTATGAATATGAAAACTTCTTAAACATAATAAGTAAAAACATGAATATGGCATGGTCCCAAGTCCTCTACACTGAAATAAAGATACATCAACTAATTATACCAAATTCACTGGTATATAGCAAATTTACATATATATACTGTATCTCAAATCTGTTTTTTATAGTAAGTGAAAAATTAAGATATGTCAGTGTATGCTTCCATCACAGTTCAAAGTTATACTGTTACAGACAAAATACAACCAAATGAATCTGGGTTATATTCCCCCTCTCTCTCTGAAGACAGGCTAATATTGAAATAACAATAAACTAAATATCAGGAGACCTAGATTTTAGTCTTGCTGCTACTACTAAATAGTTGTAAGATCTGAAGCATGTCATTAACTTCTTTGGACCTTTGCTTTTTCATCTGTAAAAATAAGGTAGCTGATTTAAACCACCTTTGAAAGTCCTTACAACTCAAAGATTCTAGCAGAGAAAGCTAAAAAATAAACGGGGCGGGGGGAGGGAATCAATAGAAAGAACAAAATCATATCAAAAGTGTCTGCAAGCAAAAATTTCTACTATGTGGTAAAAAATAATAATCTTCTACTAAAGAATCCGGGGTAACTAACTCTGGACTAGGAATCAGAGGACCTAGATTCTAGTACTATTCACATGACTACAGAAAAATTACCTGTCACTTTAAGCCTTATTTTCCTGAGCTGTAACAATTAGAATAATAACGTCTACTCTGCTCTCCTCACATGGTTGCTATAAAAATAAGCTGATATATAAATGTGCTATATAAACTCTAAAATTGTACAACTATTCCCATTACTAAGAAGTGATTTAAAATAATTTTGTATGGGCTCTGAAAATGATTTACTTAAACTTTTCCACCTAATTTTCTCTAAGAAAAAAATAATCGAGATTAATGAAATTAATTATTGAAAATATGACACCTTAATCATTACCCAAAAAATGTTCATAAAAGCTGCATAGAACAAGTATTTGACATCATCAACATTACTGAGTATTCACTATATTCCAGATACTGTGCTAACAGATTTCCTAATTTAAACTTCACAATAACTATATAAGATAGATAGTATCATTATTCCCTGTTACAAATGAATAAACTGGGCTGAGAGAGATCCGGAAATTTTCCCATAGTCACGAAGCTAATAAGTAGAAATACCAAAATTCTAATCCTAAGTAGACTGACTCTGAAGTCTGAGAACTTAACAACACTATGTCATCTTTACCTCCTTCATACTGATATTATATAACACCTTTAGGTGCCTCACAGTTTCAGCACTACCACTAGTCTAAACAGAATGATAACACTATCTGCGTACACAGCAAAACTAGATCATTTTTTAAAACTTAATTTCAACTCTGGGATCTGAGCTTCTGACAGAAGTTTTCTGTCATTTTTCCTCCTTCTGAATAAATATAATACGGGAAAGGGAAGTGGTGAAAGCATGACATGAAGAGCAAAGGAGAAGGGCTCTCTAAAAGCTGTATGTAAGGTCATTTTCCCCCAGTCTCTTTGACTTTGCTGTTTCAGCCAGCTAAAAGGTACTACCTAAGGTAGAACTTCAGATCTTCTCCAACTACAAATGTCCAAACTCTAGGTTTGTCGATTCTAGGTTTTCCCCAAAGATAAATTTATTGACTGTCCTCAGACAATAGTGGTGCTGAGAGCACGGATCACAAAATCCTTCCTACATGTTAATGATTCACTGAACTAACTTATTGTTCCCCAAACGTTTTTTAAGTTTCTATAAAACAATATTTCAAAGAGAACCTTGTATGACTACAGTTACTATTACATAACCCAACAGAGACACTTCTGCCCATGATAAAAGGCAAAAAAGAAACTGTTACAATTAACTAATAACTCCAGTAAAATTGCTAGATAAAATTATAAAGAAACCTGTAAGGTGGCTCTAGGGACATCTCTACATAAAATACAAAAAAATTTTAACAAATAGCTAAAATAAAAATAAGCAATGTGTAACAAGCAGGAAAATATCCTACTAATAAATCACTAAGATGAAAAGATAACATCATGTAATTTATAATACATAATCTCTATGCTGGGTTAATTGAAATTAAATAAACTTTTCATTGAGATGTAAATGTAACACTTAATGGGCATATAAATATTTTTAAATTATGTCATTAAGTATGCTTATATGACACAAATATTTTGTCTCCATCTGCTGGAAAATAACAGCACTCTCCTAAGATCAATACAGATTTTATGAATGCTAGCAAAGTAGGAATTTCTGAAGATATGAACCACATCTTTAATGTTTATACATCATGTTTATACATCATGAAATTTCACAGACTTAGTACTTTTTACATTTTATTATAGAATGTAACAAACGAAATGCATTATTATATCTTCACAGAATCATATTTTGTATTAAGCCATTTTAAATAGAAACTCAAATATGAGAACATTATCAAGTATAAAAATATGTATTTAATCAACTTATTTCCAAATACATCATAATTAAAACAATCTTCCAAAGTACTAATAATTTAAATAAGGCTACAAAAGACTACAAATATTTTATCAATGCTTTGTCATATGTAAACTTGGGTCATTCCTTCAGTAATACCAAATTATAAGAAATGCCTGTGTGTCTACAATCAAAATATAGGAATACCTTTACTAATCGAGGATACACTACAGTCTTCTGGTGGAAGACCTGTCCCACCATCCTTCCAATATGGATTCAATTCTCTTTCCAGCAGTTTGGACTAGAAGAAAACATTTTCAGAGGTCAGATTTTAAAAATAAACCCACCACAAAAAAATATTTTTCCACTCTGTGCCCATAGTTTAGCTCCCAATTATAAGTGAGAACATGCATATACCTGCTGTTACTTTATAAAGGTATATTAAGTAATCAATAGATAAAGGTTTTGTGGATTCTACTGTTTATTGTTTCAGACAACTGTCTTTCAAGTACTAACCTCATATTTTCATGTATTTTGTGATTTGAGGTGAGCTTATATTCCACAGAACTTTCGTTTCTGCGAAAACTGTGAGGCCTAGGTTGACAGTGTGATCCTCTAGAAAGGACAAATGGTTACTTCTGCCAAGTACTTCAAGGCACTACCAACTCAAGAATATTTTAAAATAAATTCCCACCTTAAAGATTTTTCAGACCATACAGGTAGCATGAATTGGAGCCATAAACCCTATGAATCCAAGCTATAAACCCCATAGTGCCAGCTTGTGGTTACATATTCTCTGGAGAGATTTCCCCCCCTCTACCATACAAGATGTTTGACAAGACAGGCAAGTTTTCTTGCCTTCAACTGGGTTTTTTTCCCAAGTTCATCCTTTAATTGAGGATATATCCCTGTGGGGTTCCAGATTTTTAGGGGTTTATCAATCAGACTTTCCCAACTCATGCAGGCTCTTGACCTTCTCTCCTATCCCCAAGCACCCATTAAAATTGAAATTCTAGATTACCAGGATTGTGGGATGCCCCAGGAAAGCGACCAGCTTCAGCATTTCCTTACTTCTCTGGATTCATGCTTTTGCCTTATTTTTTAGCCTCTAAAGATTTCCCATTGTTTTCTTACCAGCAAGGTGACAACAATAAAACATAAAATAAAAATGCTTATATTTTATCCAGAATTTTTAGGTGTCTTGAAATGGAAGCATTTTTATGGTATTTAATTCAGCATGTACACTAAAACAGAAGTTGAATGGGTTCACTTTTGATTCAATGATATTACCCTAAACTCAATATTCACTCTCAACTATATATGCCCTAAATTTATAAATCTAGTATACCTTTAAACTGACTTCCTATAGGAAATTTACTTTAAAGAACTCATATCACATTTCATAGTTGTTCTCACTAATTTTATTAAATATCACAAAAGATAAAATAATATTTTACAAGTAAAATTATATTAAGTGTCTTATCAGTTTAGTAAAGGCAAATCAGAAGATTAAAGCATTTTAAACATTCTCTTACCTGCTCAAGTGCTTGAGCTTTCTCTTGCTCTATTTTCCTCAGAACTTCTTTTTCAGCTTTGAGTGATGATGATGACACAGTTTTAACAGACATAAAATCAACAGTCATCCATTCATCCCTCTGTTAAAGAAAGGAAGCCAATTCAATCCAAACTGATTAGAATTTAACAATATAAATAATAATAAAGGAAGCCATTTCAATCTAAACTGATTAGAACTTAGTAATAATATAAATAATAATAAAGGAAGCCATTTCAATCTGAACCAATTAGAACTTACTAATATAAATAATAATAAAGAAAGCCATTTCAATCTGAACTGATTAGAACTAATAAGAGCAGGGATTTTGAAGGCAATTAGACCTGAATCAAATCCTACAAGGCTATATAACTTTCAGCAAGTTTCTTAATATCTTTATGCCTTAGTCTTTCCCCAATAAAATGGGATAAAATCCCTACCTTTCAGGATTGTTTTAAGGAGTAAACAAGATAATATAAGGTACCCAGCACAGTCCCTGGCACACAACAAGCAATCAAACATTAATTCCTTTTCACCTGTCTTCCTTTATCTAGGGCTAAAAGTGGATAAATTACATTCTTCCTTAGGCATATGAACTATGACCCAAAATTTGTGAACTATTTCAACTGTTAAGTATTGCTAAGAAAGTGAAGGTATGAAGTGAAGGGAAAGAAAACTGTGATTGAACTCTACTCACTGTAGAAAGGTCAGATAGAGGTAATGTATAAGGCTTCCATATATGAGGGCGAAGCGCCACTTCTCTACCAACCAGATGCAGGAAAACCCTAAGGGACTACAATAGAGATGAGCACTCATTTCCTCACAGCAGGAAGAGAAGGCGAGTCTAAATGCTCAGCAAATAGCATTACTGCCAAAATTATTCATAAAATATATTGTTTTCAGAGTCTAATTTTTCTCCTGAAGAAATTATAATCATCTTTCATTTCAACATTCATCTATTCTTAGAAGTTGATACTTCTTTCTTTAAAATCAGGTGGCTTGCTTACCTGAATAAGTTGCTTGTCGTCTTCTTGTTCTGACCTTTCACCTTTCACTTTCCAGGCCTTTTCCTTGCCAAGAGTCTGGGATGGAACAGCCTCAACCCACTCATCTTCAGAGCTCTAAGAACATTTAGCACAGAAGTGAAATTCTCGAATTTGCATAATTTCATACAAAATTTCTCTGCTGTTGTTAAGTAGTAGAAATTCAGCTTCCTAGAGAAAATTCTTACACAATATTTTCCCTTTAAAAAATGACATTGAAAATTTGAAGGAAAAACATGTAATCCATTATTTGGGTTAGGCCCACAAAACATAATCAAATTATTTTTATTTTCTTATCAGTTTATTATCAAGCCAAAGGAAAGAAAAAAAGAAAAATTAAAACTATCGGGTAGAGAAATCACTTCAGCACAGAGCTTCAGTGCCTAACAACATCACCAAGTAGTTCTCACATCTTTTGCTTCATTGGAATAGGGGAAACAACACCCAAGTAAATGAGTTTGCTGTTTGCCCCTAAGTTTCAAATTTTGAGATTTCCCTGAATCTAAAAATGCAGAGATCTCAGGTAACAGCTAGCCTAGTAAGGCATTTTGCTTACTATGTTTAAATATCAGATTATTAAATTAATTAATAAGTATTCAATCAACGTCTACTATGTGCTGATCATTATGCCAGGTTTTAGGTTTAGTTTTCCACAAATGTATCAATCTACTCTTCTGTGTCAAGTACTGTATTAAGTACTTTCACATACATTATCACCCTGAAGCCTTAAAACAACCCTATGAAGTATGATTTGGAAGATAAGATAAGGAAAGCTCCCCTAAATTAAGTACTTTGTCCAGGCTACATGGTATCCAATTGTGAGAACCAGGATAGGAATCTAGATCTGTCTGGCTCTAAAACTATCCTTCACAGCTGTAAAACTTAAGTGTAGGAAAGATCCTAGAAATCGCCTAGCTCAAACCACCTGTTAAAGCACAGCTGAGAAACTCTGAAGCCAAGTGAGGGAAAAGTGAGTGAATAGCAATGCAAACAGAATCTGGGTTTCTTGAATGAGACCAATATTCTTCCATTCTACAAAGTTCTCAGGAATTACCTAAAGCTTTCTTTGATTTCAGATCACAAATATATCTGTCAAAAAGTATAATCTACATAAAGTAAACATATTTGGGCTCTGCCACCACAACTGCCAATTGTTTTCCAAAGCTAGACAGATTTTATCCATTCATTCATTCATTCATTCATTCCTGTAGACCTTGATTTGGATTTATAGAAAACTCAGAACTAGTTATTTTTATTTATAGTTAAAATTTTATAAGATAATCACTATAAATGTACTTCTGGTCTACTCCTATTTACATCATCAAATCAGTTTAGGGGGACCTTGTTCCTAATTCTTGATGTCATTCACCAAAAAGGGAGTTTGTAATCTGAAAAAATTAGCACTTTCTTTGGGGGAGTGCCAATTTGCTAAGATCAAACTAAAACAATTTAAAAGTCAGTGCTCCATAGAATTTTGCCATAGGCCTTCTTCAGTAACTATGAATTTTCTTTATGTTACCAGATGTTGACCAACCACTTGAAACTCATTAGTGGAGCCATCAGTTGCTTCATCACCACAGCTGCAATCAGTCTCCAACTCTGGCTAAATCCTGTTATCATGATCTGCAACTTCAGTTTAGATGGACTCAATTCCAGGTAGAATTCCCCTTACTGGTCCTTGATCAGTTCTGTCTTCTATTCCCTTACTCTCCTTTGAAGCATTATCAGTTTCACATTTGTGGAACTATGTGATTAATGTCTCACTCTCCCACTAGGCAGTAAGTGCTGTAAGTACAGGAACTACACCTGCTTTTGTCTACATTACATCCCCAAGCACCTAGCTAAATACATTGGCAGATAACGTCAGCTTCTTCAACACCTTCCTCAAGCTCTATACAACTCCCATTCCCCATGTGCTCTGCAAATGATGTCTCCTCTTACCTCACTGAGAAAAATAAAGCTACCTTAGCTTCCAACCCACCCTCCAACAAAATTATTTACAGCTGTGCCTATCCTTACCACCTATTAACTCTTCCTGTTCAAGGCAGATCTTCCTTCAAAGGTTTTGATCCCGACAATTCCTGTTCTTCCAGGACCTTTCTCCATCAATTATCTCCTTCTCTTATAGCTTCAACCAAAGATCCCTAATGGCCTAGAAATATGCTCAAGTGTTTCCCATCCTTTTATCCTTTTTTTTTTTTTGGTGGGGGGGCCTTCCTTGACTTGTGTATCCCTCTAGCATGAATTCATCTTCCACCTTCCATTCTAAGACAAACTTGAAAGAGTAGTCTACATCCACTGCCTTTATACCGTCACTTTCATACATTTTTCTCAAAATTTTACAATATAGCTATTATCCCCATTAATCTACTGAAAGATCTTGAAAGTTCACCTATGGCTTCCTCTGTGTCAAATTCAATGAAATGTTTCTTATCTCCCTAGACCTCTCTGCTCAATACAACTTTGGTGATGACTCACTTTCTTGACTTCCATGACACTTTCCAATTCTCTTCCCACTCTTTGTTTCTTCTCCATTTCCTTCATGCACTCTTCCTCCTTTGCTCAGCCCTTAAATATCCATGTTATTTAGGGTTCCATTCTTTGCCCACTATATTTTTTAATATCTAAACATTCCCATTGGGCCATTAAATCCACTCTCATAGCTTGAACTACTACCAATTGTGCTGATACCTTTCAAATTTGTCTAACAAAAAGTTTCAGTGACTTAATTGTCTAGTATACATGGATGCCATGCTAAACTCAACAAAAAGAAAAAATAAATCCATCATCTTCTTCCACAAAATCTGTTCCTCCTTCTGTATTACTTAACTAAGCTACCTGGCACAACCAATCACCCACTTAACCAAGTCAGAAACTCAGGATCATCTTCTTCACCCATCCAAACCTATTATTTTCATTCCTAAAATATTTATCAAATATACCATAGAGTGAATACCATATAATTACCATGGAAGCCTACTTCTACCCCTGGTCACAGCAGATTAGTTCAAAAGTAGGTACCTGACCCAATTCATTTCAATCTAAGTCATTCCCCAGGAATTTGAAATTAAAACTAACTGGGCTGATATAAAACTAAGAAGAACTGGAAAGGCAGTAGTAGAGGCCATTTCTGTCATGAGGAAGGGAATTCAGCAAAAATTGATCTGTTTCAAGAAAAAAAAAAATAGAACTCAAAGGGGAAAAAAAAATGAAGAAGATTCCAAAAAGCATTCACAACTCTAACTTCAACGATTTCTGAAGCCCAGCTGCCTTCCTACACCTAGGTGTCTTATGAGAAAGTTGAACTCTAATAATAAATCTCCACTTATTTTTGCATAAGCCAATTTATGTTTGGTTTCTGTTACCTGCAACCAAGATTACCAACTAATACATATTCTCCCTTTTCCATTCTTAGAGCAGCAGTCCTAGATCAGATCTTATCTCTCACCTAGACAACTGAAATAACCAAATTAGTCTCCTGGATTTCAGTGTTTCCTGTTCCCCTTCCTTCTTCAACCCCCACCCTCCACCCCAAATACATTTAGAGCAATATAAAGGTGACACCTGACCACTGTACTCCTCTTCTATGGCTCCCTGTCAAAGACTGCCAGTTATTCCTCTTCTTTTCTACAGATAGAACACAATTTTACTTGGAGAAGCAATGTGCTTCCCATGCTGGAAAGTGAAGTCTTATGAGCAAGTGTCCAATGAGATGTAAATAAAAGTATTGTGTGGAATTTTCTGGAAGTCAAGTTAAGGGGGAGTGGGGTTAGAGCATCCTCTTTCCTGTTATCTGGACTAAGAGGCAATGCTGTAAGGATGATGAAAGAGCAAGACAACAGAAGCCTTGGTCCCAGAAGACCATACTAATCCTAGGTTACCTACCTGATGCCTTTCATATGAAGGAACTTCTATCTTGTTTAACCAATTGCTATTCTGAGATTGTCTAACAAATGCAACTGAACCTGATTAGATTATACACTCCCTAATGTACAGAGTCAAAGCTCTTGATTTACCAAGCCCTTTCAGTTCTTACAGTTTATCTCCATTCACCCTCTCCTCTTGTTTTATGATCTAGTACTATCAAATTGTTTATAGTTATATTTACATACACACACACACACACACACACACACACTCATACAAAATATTATCTCACACTTCTATGCCTTTGCTCTCACAATTCCTTATGCATGAAATGCCAAGCACATCTTTATTTGCCTAATTCTCACTAATCCTTCAAGTCTCAAGTATCATTTCCTCAATAAATCTGCAAATGAAATTCTCCCTCCCTTAATACCTGCATTACCATGGCATCATGAGATTACATATTATGTATCTTTTTAACCAATTAGAAAATAAGTTCCCCAAAGGTTTTAAAAAAAAAAAAAACCTCTTTATATTTTTATATTCCCCATGTCTAGAACATTGTCTTGCAAAGAATAGGCACTCAGTAAATATGTGCTGAAATTAACTGAAACCCCTTCTTTTACTCTTCCAATAGCACTAGTCAGAAACTTTATGTAGTAGTCTGCATTCAAGCATTAAATGCCAGGAACTGAATGGAAGACACATTTGTGATGCAGTTAATAGTCTTATTATTCATTTATAGAACAGTGATACCTAGACCACTCTGTGCAATCCTCCTGCCTCTATTCTGTTTCTGTTAATTTTGTTTTTCACAATTATGCACTCACCTCAACACTTCAGCAAAATTGATGTTCCCCTCTTCCCGTGCTGTAACTTCAGTTTCCTTGCTCATTTTAGTATGATCCTCCATTTTACCTTGAAGGACTCATAAATCGTCAAGCTTAATATGCCCCCACACCTAACACAGACCTCAGCACTCTCCTCACACGTAGCCTTCAGAATTAACCACACCCTTAATCCTATCTAGAGGTCAGAACCAGAAGGTGGAACCAAGGCAGAAAAGTGCTGCCAGCAAAAAATCAAGGGAACTTGAGGACTTCTGCTTCTAGCCATGACATAATGAATGGCGTCAGAAAATAGAAATAAAAATAGAACATATGTGAAACAACTGTTTTCAGACACTGAATATTAGTGCAGGACTGTGATCC